GTGTGTGTTTGTAAAATTGTGTATGTAGGCAATAATCCCTGTTTTATACAAGTTTTATTACAGACGACTGACAAAGTACTGTAATTAAGCTCTTTATTTAATTTTTTTTGTATCGTATATTTTTTTTCATTTCAGCGCATACTGCGTGTAAACGCTGTTGGAATGTTCTGTATGTCCGAGCTCTTTATCAAGGATGTTTTATTTTTAACTTAATGTATAGTTTTATTTTGATGTTTATATCTTAATATATAGGAATGTTTTTTTTTTTTATGAATGTCATGCATAATCAATTAATTCATCGTCTAGAAGAATCCTCAACACTGGTCGGCCGTTTCGTCCTATGTTTGAGACTCATCAGCAATGCGCATCCACTAACGAGAATCGAACCCGTTACAATACAACGCAAGCGTCATACCAACTGTACCAACAGGCCTCGGTGACGAAGAGGTTACTAATTAGATTCGATATTGGGCCGATGAGACAAAATTGTAATATTTTAAAAAATTCCCCAATTGTCTATTTGTTTTGTTTTTTTTTCAGACGGACACACACACACACACACACACACACACATATATATATATATATATATATATATATATATATATATATATATATATATGCAAAAAATAGTTTTATGGTGTGCTATATTTATGGGATAAAGTGCTCAATATCACTTTTTTATATATATATATATATATATATATATATATATATATATATATATATATATATATAAATATACTAAATAAATAATTATATATATATATATATATATATATTTGACTGTGTGTTTAAACGCAAATTTTATGTTCTGAAGATGGTGTTTAAGCATGAAACAGACTGTCACCTCTACGTGTTGATTTAAATGTACGCTTTTATATATATATATACTCTATCCCTGATACCGAAGACTTTTAACCTATAAATACAGCATACCTTATATATATATATATATATATATATATATATATATATATATATATATATATATATATATATACATATACAAAAGGTGAAAGAACGAAGAGTCAGATTTCAGCGTGTAAAACATTAATTTAAAACAGGGCTCAATACAAAATAAAGCAATAAATATTTATTTGTTATGTTGTGTTACATTATAACACTGCATGATATATATATATATATATATATATATATATATATATATATATATATATATATATATTTTGCTTGGAAAAACCCACTAAAAGTAATTATGTTTTAATTATTTTTTCAATATTTCGGCTCATTTTCATGGTTTCCGGTGCATATTTAAATATAAATTGTCCTATGTTTTTTATACTTTCGGCTATCTCTAGTCAGTTTATATTTAAATATGTTACAGAAATCGGAAACTAATCCGGAGTATATAAAAAATATACCTTACCAAAGAACAATTTTTCATAAATGAAAACTTACTGCCCAAAAATCAAAAACAATAACAACATTTGCTCACTTTCGTTTATTACACATTAAATTACATCACTTAGTATCCTCCATAGTTTACCTTGACTTTCGCAGTCAGCCAATTAGAATATTTATGAGCGTTCTTAAATTTAACAATTTGAAACCCTAGCAATATTTTTACTTTCTTTATAAATACATGTTGCAAAATAAAATCCTTACATGTGTCTCAGACGACACGCTCCGGTAAGGAAAAGTTTCCCTTTGGTTTTATGCATATTGTCTTATTTACAGATATATATTTTAATTTATATCTGATTTTTTACAGACATACACATTTGTAATCCACATATAGACTGTTTCGCTGTATCATAGCTCATCACTGTGGCTAGACGTCCGTTTGCCTTTAGCTAGGATCGAAACCCGACTAGATTGGCATCAGTCGGGGGGATTCCACCACTAAGCCGTTGGCGCACGGCAGGGACGACGGTGAATTTAAGCGTATTTATTTTTAGATAAACACACAGTGACTGAGTGAACTCGTTTCGATTTACCGAAGAGTCTTGCATTATTAGCCGTAATAGTCACTATTTACAAACCCACAATTCCTAGAGAACTTAACTGAAATAATTTTTTTCAGGAGCATATATATATATATATATATATATATATATATATATATATATATATATATATATATATATGATAGTGCCCTTCGAGGTATCATTTTGCTGATGAGTGAATTTTCAACGCTTGAAAATTCACTCATCAGCGCAAAATGACACCTCGAAGGCCACTACAACTGCATCAGTGAAAGGTACACTTTCAGCTGCCCCTGATATATATATATGGTCTCCCAAAAATGTATGAAAAATTTTAACAGCTGATATAGCTTAATAGATTTATCCTTTCCGGATTAAGTTCTTTAGGATTAGTGATGGCAATGAAACTAAGCTTTGAAAAAAGGAAATTCATTCTAAAATGCTACAGGAAGTCTAAAATCGCAGTTGAAGTGCAAAGACAGTTTTTTTTGAGGGGGGGAGATTCAAACAGATCCATCAATGCGATTTATCTCTAATTAGAGATAAGTTTGAAGCCGATGGAATTGGTGAGAATGTCCACACAAGAAGCGTTCCGGAAGACCACGGACACTGGAAACATATCACTAAAGTCCAAGCCAATCGTGAGTTAGGTATCTCAAAATCGTCTGCCCAATGCATTTTGAAACGTTGTCAATGGAAAAGTTTCATTGCAAGATTAGTCCATGATATTAATGACGATGATCAATACCGAAGAGTGGATATAGATCCTACCTTGATGAGATCTTGCCAAACAGGTGGATTGGACGAAGGGGTTTCGTAGAATACCCTCCGCATTCACCAGACCTCACATCATTAGAGATTTATATAAGAAACTTTATAATTATTTAAAGTGTGTATATATTTTTGGGACACGCAGCATGTGTGTGTATATATATATATATATATATATATATATATATATATATATATATATATATATATATATATATAACGTCATCCACAGACAGACTGTTTCGCTGTTTACAGCTCATCAGTGTGGCTAGACATCCGGTTGCCTCTAGCTAGGATCGAAACCCGACTGAATTAGTGTCAGTGGATTTTTAGCATATTTATTTTTAGAAACATGCCCAGTGACTGACAGTGACTCAATTCGCTTTCGTGAAGAGTCTCGCTATATAGCTATAATAGTCACTGTTTACCAACCCACCTCCTCCCCAGAGTGCTCAAGTGAAATTAATTTCAGGAGCAGATATATATATATATATATATATATATATATATATATATATATATATATATATACCCAAGTATAGGATTGGTGTATACGGAATAAATTCCAACAACCCATAAATACTATTCTTAAAAGAGTGCTCAATACAGAGTAGAGCAAACATTTTCGAATAAATTACACACACACACACAAGCATATATATTCTTCATATATATATATATATATATATATATATATGAAGAAATATACTTTTAAGGTGTGTTATATTAATGGGATAAAGTGCTCAATATCAGAGATAGAGCGTATGTAAATATAAATATAAAAGTGAACACTGAAGTCAACACTCAGGGCGACAGGCTGTTCCATGCTGGGTGCAATCGGCGGCCTGATGATTGCGTCTAGCATGAAACAGCCTGTCGCTTCTGAGTGTTGATTTCAGTGTTGAGTTTGATATATATATATATATATATATATATATATATATATATATATATATATATATATATATATATATATAGTTACCTTCCTTGACGTTTAAATCGTGAAATTTAAATTATACAGTACGTAACCTAGCTTCACAGTTTAAAACAATTAACTCTCAGATGAACACAACAATTTTGTCTTAAAAAAAACAACACCCAGATGATGATATTTTGCTAATGTCGAAAGTACTCGGAATTACTGACTAAGTATTGGCATGATAATTTTCTCTTTTCCTTTAATAAGAATACTAAGAAGTTTGTCTGTGAATATGAGAGTATCGTATTAAAAAATAAGTAGACAAAACTTGTCTAGATTATTCAATGAGACATGTTTTAATGAAAAACATGCTGCCAAAATATATATATATATATATATATATATATATATATATATATATATAGGATTATATGTAAAGGGTATGTATATGTATGAAGCAAACATCTGTTATATGAATACAAAATGTGTGTCCGACTCTTAGAGTAAGTAAATCGTGCATATCATGCAAGTCAAATGTCAAGTAACACTTCATCTTGAAGTGTTTGTGAACCAAGCATTCGGGAGAGTTTGGCACCATGCCGTCTGTTGCACCCATTCTGTGAATTCCTTCGACAAAAATGATTGATGCCCTACTCCCAGCGACCTTTCCCTATGAATTTTGCTTTTTTTTTCTTTGCCTTTTTGTGCTGCTTTATTTTGTTACCGAATAGAACATTGTTGGCACTGAAACCACCTGAAAACATTAGGCGAGTCATTATCAGGGAAAAATGGAAGAATTACTGGGAACAGATGATAACTACAACGCTATTAATCATTTCACAGGAAAGGTGTTAGTTCAATGTCTTCATTGTATTTACCTGGCCCAGCCAGAATTCCATTCGGGACAAAAATAAATTTATGTATCATAAACTTAAATCTGGTGAAGTGCATCTAACCGGTAACATCCTTGCTATTTTATTAAAGGAGGAGGGATCAGGGTTAATTTCTGATACCTGAAACATCCAAAAAAAAAAAAAACAAACGTTGAGTGAGACGGGACAATTTCTCTCTATAGTTTCATAGACATGTGGGACTCCGTTGTGCCATATTACAACCAAGTGAGCATGTGAATAAATACTATTCGCAGTTAAGACCACGGAACAAAATGTTGCTGTTGTTGTTTTTGATGATGATGAGATGGAAGAGAAGGATGATGATTAGAAGATAGAGGGGGAAGGCAAAACCTGAATATGTTAAAAAAAAAAACGATGGATAATTTTGTAGGTAGTTTTCTGAAGTTGAGAAATGGATGTCTGACATTATCTCATGATTTTTTTCTGACGAATATGAAATTAGATGAATTATTTCCATGACGTTATATATTTTTCAGACAAGTTTTGAATAGACAGAGAAAGAGAGTCAGCGATATTACAGGGTAAGATAGATAGAGAGTGACATATTAGTGACTTAGAGAGAGAGAGTGAGAGACTGGGAAAAAGCACATTGAGATAGATAAATACAGAACAAAACTTACATATATATATACATTCAGAACAGACTCATCAGCAATGCGCATCCACTACCGACAACAGAACCCCTTACGATACGACGCAAGCGTCATACCAACTGTATCAACGGTGACGAGATAGATAGATAGATAGATACGGGAATGAATAAACTGAAGAAGAAAATGTATTTAATTAGTACAGCAAATACAGATTTTTCAACATAATGTCTTCCTTTTCCAATGCACTCGAGATGTCTTGAAAATTCTATGATAATAATGCAGATAGTCATCTGATAATGGTATCAAGCTTCAGACTTATTGATCTGCCATAAATAGATAGCTAGGTAGATAGATATGAAAAGAGTAATGTCTCATGATAGATAGATAGATATGAACGGACTAGCAAGTTAAGATAGATAGATAGATAGATAGATAGATAGATAGATATGACAGGACAGTTAAGCTATAATAGATAGATAGATAGATAGATAGATAGATAGATAGATAGATAGATATGACAGGACTGTTAAGATAGATAGATAGATGCTTTCGTCCTTTTTGTGTAAGGTTAACTACTTGTGGGAAATAGTATGCACTCAAATGCGTCATGAGTAATACCCGTAGCTGTGTATACTTTTTGTGACTTCCTATGTAAATGAATTAACCTCATCTCCATGAACTGTAGAGGTTTTATCCCCTTATTTTCCCTGCTACTATCTTCTTCCCCCTCCCTCAGAGATTGCCTAGATATTAGTGAGGCGGTTAAGTTAAACTCTTGTGCATTTTTTTTTAATAAAAGCACCATTTTTTGGCACAGAGGTAGACCGATATCTCATGAACAAATTCGATATGGAGCCATCGCTCAAATGACCTATAGCAGCTGTTGCGTCCATTTTCTATAATGGCCGCCAGCAGACACCCAAAAGACGCACAGAAGTTAGATAAAGTTTGATGCAGAAGGTTTTAGTTTATTGAATGTTTTGAATCAAGATATGCCAGATAGTTCTTTGTTATATTTTGGGTGCTACTGCTGATATTAATTAACATATTTCAGCCATTTTCAGATGAAATGGCGGCAAGGAAACCCATGATCAGGCATCAAATGCTGATATTCCTTATGAATAGCCTAGATTCATTTACGTTGTGGAAATGTTATCTGACCTTCTTCCTCTGTCTGTCAATAGCTGTTCATGAACACGGCCCACGACAGTTAAGACGCCAATTAATAAAATTATTAATAGAGTTTTGCTCATTATATCGATAATACTATTTTACTAGGCTGGCATCTCGCCCTCACCCTTTCACTGTTGAAACTGTTAAATTTAGCCGTTTCTTCTACTCCAATAGCTTCGTTTCGCACCTCTCGCATGTGGAACTCTCTCCTCTTTTCCTGTTTCCCTGATAGCTATAATATCCAACTATTTAAATGCAATGTCAATCGACGTCTCCAGATACCATGATCTATCCCCTATCCTTCTTTTCATCCTTTCCTCTATCACTCCTATTTGCTCTAGCTCCAACTCTCTGTAACCCCTTGCGTGCTAGTGGCTTCCCACTTTGCTTGGGGTGAAATGTTTATTAAAAAAATACAGAAATAACAGAACCAGATAGTGATATTCATGGTAGCTTGCTATCAAGAAAAATCAATCCTGGGTAAATCAAATGTTATACTTCTGCAGTCAAGGTACACTGCTACATTTAATTATCATTTTAATTAACACATAATCTGCTAAACGCAATATTCAGAGAAGTTCACTGTTTTATAGTACCTGTGTACTGCCTGGAACAGTTCTGATCTTTATCTTAATTTTGCAACTTCAGTTCTGAGTACACACCCAGTTGCAATAACATAGTGGTGTGCATTCCAGACTGAGCTTCTTACACTTTCACTTCTTGATGCAGCCCTTTTATCATTTTCAGGAGACAAGCTCCCGACAGACCTTTGAACACGTCGCTGGTCTTGAGCCAATCCTAATCGATTGGTGATGGCAATGTTGGGGCAAGAGCCAGGGTCTGATTCCAGGCATGTCCGCACTGGTATATTGTTCGTCGGGCGTTCTGACTTAGGGCGGCGTTTGTCGATGGGATCAGTTGGACATTGCTGTTCTTTGAAAACAGTTTCCGGCGTGCCTTGTCGATATCGGTTGCGGTTCTGTCGTAAAGAAGGATGACGAACCTCTCAATGGTACGCATGGCATCTTCATCAATAGGATCCGATGCAGTGGAGAAGTTACTGAGTGTCTGGGTCAACTGAGGTAGAGTTTTCCACACTGCGCATGCTGGTCTCTTGCCATATCTGGCGAAGCAGGAGATGGTGTTACAGCCCGTCAAATCATGAAACATCGATAGTGCTTGTGCTTTCTCCAGGCCCAGATCTCGCGCTATCTGATGGGCTGCCGAGAACAGGAAAACCTTGCCAATTCCAAAGAACACCCACACTTCGGCTTTCTCCTCCAGGGTGCGTGCAGAAGCCACTGCCAGGACAACAACATCAGTGTCAACTGCGTGGATGAGGATCTTCTTGTGGCCATTTGAGCAGCGTGGGGGGGCATGCAAAATCATGCGGCTGTCGGCATCGTCGTGGTTGCAAGGAGCCAAAGCTTCAGTATCTAGAAGCATTGATTTCCTAAAGACATCGTCCCCTTCAGTGATGACCAGCTCCTTGTCTCCAAGTTGGAATGAGTCGTGAAGGACACTGAGGAAACTGAACAGCTCTGTCTTGTTCTCGTCGACTCTGAGGAAGCTGACCCAGTTCTTAGGGATCGTTGCACCATCCACTACCCGTCTTCTCACCTCTTTTCTGCGCTAGGCTCTTGCTGTACCCTTCAACGAGTCTGTATTGCAGTGGTCCCACACCAGGTCGAGTTGGGTGTTTTGATCGAGCTTTGAGAGTATGTAGGGTACAAAGACTTACTGTGCATACTCGTTGAAGCTTTTTTTTGCTGTAGTTAGCTTCTGCATCTGGATGATGACCGCTCTATCTAGCACAGTGCAGCTGTTTAGAGGAACCTCAGACGTGGGCTGACTGATGTCTTCTAGACTAGCGAAAAGATCACTCTTGACACCCAACCAGATGCCACCGACATCTGATAGTGCAGAGGGGGGCAGGCTTATTTTTTAAGTTGGAAGAATTCCTCAATATTCCCATCTCGGTTCTGGTACCTGATATACAGACAAGAGAGCAGGTCCATTTTTGATGGATTTCATCTGCTGCTTGCCCTTTCCAGCTGGTTTCGAAGTAGGCTGACCCAAGATTTTCAGCCTGTTTCTGTGGATGTCATCTCCTGTGAGTTTCGTTCTTTCCACCAGAAGTTCTCTGAATGCTGCTAACCCACTTTGTATGCATGACGGAGGGCGTCTACAGGTGGCGCGATCTCCTTGGTGTCGAGTACCAGCAGATCTTGACTATCCTCTTCAAATGAATTCCCGAAGTTTTACATGACGCTGCCCATAGACTTTACATCTTTCAGAAAAGCAGTCTTGTTGACTGGTCATGGTGCCGTGTCCCTTGTGCTCTGTTGCTCGGGTCAGTTTCATCGTGGAACTGTTCGATGAGCCCGGCAACATCTGGTTCTGCCACCATCCACTGTCGTAGAGCGCTGGGGTTGTCAGTCAGACCTCCTTTGATGGTAACATTGTTCTGCTCGTGGGTCTGGTCGACAGGGATGGCGGAGAATGACCTGTTTGTCTTCTGAACGGCGAAGTTCCCAGCTCAGAAATCCAGTGTGTGTCGTCAGCAGATGCACAGGAATCCAGCGCCCGTAGTTGGTGTGATCCAGGACACAGAACCACACTGCTAGTTCGCAAACGACACTTGATGCGGAGAGCGCGCGTACACCAAAACCGTCACCTCCAGTTGCAGGACAGTTGACCAGTAGTCAAACTGGGGACAGGTCTCCGCTTTTTGCGGACGCCAATCGCCGAACTCCAGCTGTTCGTTGTGTGCGCCATCAAGCAGTTCAATGCAATGGTTGTAGGCGTACTGCTGCAGGGTAAAGAGAGCTGCTGCTATCACTTGATAAGCTCTCCTGGTTCGACCGACATGGGATGCCCGCAGGAAGGAGTCCGCTGTCCTGGTTTTCGTGATCTCTGACTGAACCAGAGTTTGCACCCACCCGCTCCCTTGCAGCCAGTCATGCAGGTTCTTCAGTGCTGCCATCTCAATATGAGGTCAGCCTAAGAGGACGTCAAACTTCTCTTCACCGCACTCCTGTAGCCACTTTCACTGTATTTTCTTTGCCGAAGCAAACAGCGGCTGGTCGAATGTGACTAGTGGATTCTATTTAGGATTGACATGTCCTATTGCAACCCAGACCACATCAATGGAGTTCTTGATCATATCCACTATGTGGGCGCTCTCTAGAAAGAGTGGAAGCAGTGCCGTTCGAAAGATTGCCCGACTGGCTGACATGTCCTGATGGCTTGCGTGGTATGGTGCCCATGAAGTGTTCTCCATTGGAGAAGTTTCTTGGGTGTGTTGTAGCCAGAGATGCTCTCTTTCAGCTTGTTGCTTGAAACCGCTGTTGCTTCTCAGGGATGTCACACTGGTAAGCCGGCACAGGAGTGTTCTTGATGCTCTCGATGACAGATGGTACATCTGTATGGTAGTGAGGCAAACGGTCAACTGTGTTGATGCCTCTTACATTCGGTCCTCTGAGGATACTGATGCTGTGATCAATGCAGGCCCCAGGGAACGCAGGGTGTTGCATGATGGAAATAGCAGTTCCATGGAATGATTGTTTTGCTGTGATGGAACTTAGGTTGTGGTCGATGTCTACCACGGTAGTTGTGAGTATTCTGTCTCTCATCTTGGGAAGACCCGATCTTAGGAGATAGAAATCCCCACGTGTACCAGCCTATCAACGAGTGTGTGTGCATGTAGCATTAGGTCGACGTACGTTGGGACTGGCGTCTCCCGCGTGGCGGCGGACCTGACTGGGTGTGGCGTACTGCCCGTGGCCGCCTGTCGGTGCATAACGATGCTGAAATTGTGGAACTGTGCGATGCTCAGTGCCGCTGGTGTTGTGCTTCATACTGGGACCTTCCAAGATCCTGTCCTGGATAAGACGATAAAATACATCCAACAGCAAGGCCTCTGATCAGAAGGTTTTGAGGAGCGTGGAACCACCTCTTAATTGCTGGTGTTCCAAGGGCCACCCTGGTCCGGGATGGCAGCACCTGTTAGGGTCTCAGCTATGGGCAAATAGTTAAACCCCAAACTTGGGTCAAAACACTATAAAAGTGTAAAAATAGGTTTTAATATCATCGATACACTTTTGTAAAACAATTATTTCCAGCAATGAATTTTTTAAGAAAAAAATATTACCAGCAATAAAAATCTTGTCGGCATTAAATAACTCATTGAGGTTGATATGCCGTAAAACAAACCAAACTAATATATAGATGAGATAGATAGATAGATAGATAGATAGATAGATAAAAATATTACCAGCAATAAAAATCTTGTCGGCATTAAATAACTCATTGGGGTTGATATGCCGTAAAAAAACAAACCAAACTAATATATACTGAGATAGATAGATAGATAGATAGATAGATAGATAGATAGATAGTAATATTACCAGCATTAAAATATTGTCGGCATTAAATATTAGGTTGGTGCAAAAATAATGACGTAATAATGTCGTTTATTGACGTATTTTTGAGGTCAAAAAATGACATTATTACGTCATTATTTTTGCACCAACCTAATAACTCATTGAGTTTGATATGCCGTAAAACAAACCAAACCAAACCAATAGATAGATAGATAGATAGATAGATAGATAGATAGATAGATAGATAGATAGAAATATTACCAGCAATAAAAATCTTGTCGGCATTAAATAACTCATTGGGGTTGATATGCCGTAAAACAAACCAAACCAAACCAATATATACTGAGATAGATAGATAGATAGATAGATAGATAGATAGATAGATAGATAAAAATATTACCAGCAATAAAAATATTGAAATAAAAATATTAAAATAACTCATTGAGGATGATATGCCGGAAAACAAACCAAACCGCAAACAGAACTTCCAAAATCCTAGTGACCAAGGCAAGCATCATGTGCACGACGGAAATCGAATGCTGGGATTTTTTTTTTATTTTTGTTTTAATTTTTTATAAAAAAAAAAAAATTAATTTAAATTTAAAATTCTCAGTTTCCCTTTTTCTTCGTGCGCATGCGTACTTACATCAATGTAAACATCACTTTTATCTGATTAAGTCCTAAAGAAGAAAACGTGTCACACGAAAACATTTTCCACTTTGTCATTGATTTCTTTTCCTTAAAATTGTTCTTGATATAAAAAAAGTATGTCTATATTTCTGAGATGAGGTATTATGTACAGTATTTACATTAGTCGGACTATTGTCCTCATCTTTGTCGCCATATTTGTCACAACGTTTCGGCCGTTGTACGCTCCGGCCTTCTTCAGGTGGTTGGAATGTCGAACTGAACCCTTTATTTCGATCACTGGGGTAGACTGTTCTAGTTCCACGTGCCATGTTTGATGGATGTCAGTTATCAGTTATCTCCTGCTAATTTTCCCTCTGAAAGTTCTCCACTGCCTTAACCAGGTATTGAACTCACCTTCTTTGGGTCTGTCACTGGATCTTACACAAATGGTTGGCGAATCTGCTTTCTTCCACAGTGCTAAAGAAATGGTTTTGAAATTAAATAAGATACTGAATCGAGAAAAGATAACTTGTGTACTCCTGGGAAATAAATTGTGGTTTGGACACCACTGCATTTAAATGTTTTCGTACACGAAAATTCTTCAAGGAAGAATATGCTCTACACTAAATCTAGTGTAGAGCATATTACTTGAAGAATTTTATAGACATAAGTGCTAAATTGTTCCATCCTTAGCTAGATAGGTGGATAAAAGTTTCCTTCAGAATTTGTAATATATGGGATCAAAAATGACAATTTAAAATTTAGTAGGAAGGAAGATTTGATCGGTATTTACTTAGATCAGTTTCTACCTCTACAAATATTTGTTTTTGTGTCCGTGACATGATCATGTTCAAAAGACAAAGTTTGGCATGAATAATCATAAGAAATTTATTTATAAAGTAGTTTATATGAGTGCAAGGCAACTCAACACCGCCGACTCAACACTGCCGACTCAACACCGCCGACTCAACACCGCCGACTGAGCGCCGAGACAACTCATGACTGAGACAATTCAGGACCGAGACAACTCAGTACCAGAGAAAAACAACTCTTTTTTTTTATAACCGATTAAGAGTAATTTATTATTAAGGATTAAAGCCTTAATTAGTGAATATTTTTCCTTTATTAATAAATAAATTTCTTTACGATTTACTTTATTAAACATAATTAAAAAGATATTCACTAATTAAGGTTTTAATCCTTAATAAATTACTTTTATTCAGTTATAAAAAGAAGTTATGTTTTCTCTGGTGCTGAGTTGTCTCTGTCCTGGGTTGACTCACTCCCGACGCTCAGTCGGCGCTGTTTAGTCGGTGTTGTTGAGTTGGCGATGTTAAGTTCTCCCTTTCCGCTCTGCCCCCTGACACCAGAGGTCATTCACGAGCATAGTATCCAATTTTCTAGCCAAATGAATCAATTATTGGCAAAATAAAGTCAACTATTGAGTTTCCTATGAAGTACAAAACCTTTATGATCTCACAACTTAAATGGTAGCAGAATGGTTTGAAGAATTTTATAAACGTATAGGACGCTATTTAACGATCCCTTCACAAGGCCAAGTCTTTAATTTTATAGCAGCTCATGGACCTGTGTGTTGTGGGCGAACACTTTCCGGAAAATGCCAATACACCAACTCTACATGATATACACAAACGACCATCACATGCATGAAGGCAAAATCTGCTTATCATGTACTATTCACTATTCTCAGTAACCTTCTCGCTACTAGATACTTACACGATCGTGTTGTGGCATAAATAAAATCTTACTGAGAGTAAATTAATCCCAAAGGACCTTGTTAATACTCCTAGGATCTTTTTTCTCTGATATGTGCTGTCTACGCTGTGTGGTTTGCCACTGCTTTCCTTACGACATATCGATCTTGGCGATCAGCTTTAGTATGTGGCCGTCCAGAACCAGTTATATGGCGGTAGGTAAAACGCATATAAGATTCGCCAGCGGCGCATAGGAGAAGTAGTCAACTGATAGAAGTGAGTCAAGTGAATTCCACAATGAATCTAACCATTGTTTTAAACATCGAAGCACCATCAATGTATCTCCATCCAATACCCGCAGCCATTCGATGGCTCAAAATTCGACCTCTCTCAAACCGCTGTTATTGAACAAAAAGAGCTGCCCTTTGACATAGCCTTGTCTGGCGGTCCTCTCTACCTGGAGGCAGAGAGTTTGATTAGCACAGCTGTAGACGAATCTCCAACTGCAGAATATCTACCAACCACCCCACGCGGTCAGATGTGGCACAAGTCCGAATTTAATGTTGGGTATCCGAGCCCGTAGGCTCGGCCAAAAATTCCCCGTAGACCTCGTACCAAAAAGGGTCGGGTAGCTGTTTCCCGAGACGAGACTCTGCCCTTCGACATAGCCTCGTCTGGGAATCCTCTCTGCCCGGAGACAGAGAGTTTGACCAGCACAGCTGGAGACAAATCTCCAACTGCAGACCAACATACAGTATTTACTACTGTATTTATGTGAATGGGGACATACCCATTATCGTCCGTAGGTATACTACAACAGTAAGAAACTGAGTATACGTTATTAAAGGAGAGAGGACAATAAAAGAACAGGGTTCAAGGTAAGTGAAGATAATGATTAACAATGCATTTATTTTTTTTTTTAAAGTCAGAGTTGACCGGAAAGCAAGAAGCCGAGAGAGGATTCCATAAGTGAGAAGAGCGTGAAAAAAAATATCAAACTAAAACTTACGGTTACATATAGCAATTTCTATCTACCAATCTAGTCCTGCGCTTAAATTCATGAAGTCGTGGTATCAGAGAAGAAACTCACAGGGGAGCGATGTTACGGTGGTGGAAAATTGAATGCAGCCGAGATGCCGACTTAGGACCGTTAATATTGCAGATTCTCTTTGGATTTTGTCAAAAATCTCTATGTTTTTAGCATAAGTACTAGACCAAATATAGCAGCAATTTTCAATGTACCAACAAAAAGATCAAGCGAGAATTGTTTGGCACGACATAGTAAACTTAATTTTCCTGGCAGCAGATCTATCAATTGATTCAATATAATCGTCCGACTTCATATCAGAGAAGGCGCAATCAGTTACTCTTCTGGAAGTTAGTATAAGCCATACTGATGGAAGGTTTTAAAAATGCTTCTCTACGAACATTCATAGAAAATAATCTAAAAAGTACAAGGGAAATATTGTCAAGAATAAAGAATGGAACCAACTTTTCTAGCAGCGGAAATAGCAATTGATTCTTGTATAGAAGAATGTTTCATTCGCTTAGAGGTTAGCATCAACTTGATGGAAGGCAAAATACGTTCTCAAATACGATTAAGAGAAATATAATTTTATTTTGGAGGCGTTAAAATTAGCAAACTATTTCTTGCAATTACAATATGAATACAATAGCGTCTTCCTAAATTCTTCTAGTTGCTAAAGACATTTTGTTTGTTGTTAATAGTTACTTTGTTTTTAATAAATTCATTTCTTTTTTTGCCGTGAAAAGGTCCACATTGGACGAAATGCGTTGGCTTATAATACAATTTTCCTTTTGTCTTTTACCTTTATACACAGGAATTATTGTTGAGTGATGTGAATCAATAAATTCTCTCAAGGTTTTGCAATAAGTCAGATTTTCTTACGTCCGCGCTGATATATTTCCTAAATGCAGACTTTGGCGAAGATAAGATTAATGTTAATTCCTGTCTTTTATTCATATGACTTACTTTTCAACTCAGCATTTCGGATTGCTTTTCCTGAATATTTAGAGCCTTTTTCATCTCGCCTTATGCGGGCACGCGTCTTTGCGTCTATACGCATGTTATTGCAGGGCGTTCTTCCCAAGGGACAGTAAAAAGATCAGTTTACAAGCAAACATTTCCAGCCTAAATTAGATACTGTTTTACTTACGTTTGGGAGTGATTACTTCTCTCTCTCTCTCTCTCTCTCTCTCTCTCTCTCAGACTCTCTCTCTTACTCTCTCTATCTCTCTCTATCACTCTCTGTCTATCGAACTATCTTTCTATCACTCTCACTCTATCACTCTTACTTTCTTTCTGTTACACACACACACACACACACACACACACACATATATATATATATATATATATATATATATATATATATAAAGACAAAAGGAAAACTAATTTTACCCGACGCGTTTCGTCCTCTGATAGACTTTATCACGGCAATTGTAAGGATTTCATTTTGCAACAAACATTTATAAAGAAAAGTAAAAATGTTGTTTGTCTTTCAAAATTTTTACATTTAAGAGATGCTCATAAAAATTCAACGACAGCGGCCTCCATAATTTACCGTAACTTTTCAGTTAGCCTGATGAATATTTATGAGCGTCTCTTAAATTAAAAAGAAAAAAATATAATTTCTGTCTTAATTTCTGACGAAGCTTTAATAAAGTGAAACATGTTAGATTAAGATCGCGAATTTATAGACACTGACTATTGCTGCTAATAATGCAAGACTCTACCAACGGATTGAGTATTCTAGGTTTATGAAAGAATACAGCGAAACAGTCAGTCTGTGGATGACGATATACATATATATATATATAAGAATTCATGGATAATATTAATTATTAATATTTATTACTTTAAACACAATTCCTTTGAAATGCTTTGTTGTCGTTACAGATACGAAACTGAGAAAATATGGGCTCTGGAAGAAAATTTGAACGAGTAAAGTGAACTTTAAAGGCAGATAGTTTATGAAGCCCTTCGTTACCGACGGTTTTCTCCTGCAGTTCGAATCCTACTGGAGGGTCTATTTCTCTTTAATAAGATTTCTCTAATGTTCAGGACTGTAGACGA